AATTTTACTTTTAGATCTATAAACAAACAAACCAAAAAACTCTTGATTTTTTATTATAATATCTCGATTTCTCATTTTTTTGTCAAATCTAATTTTTTTTTAATCTCAAATCTGAAGTTATTGATCTCAAATATGAGTTTGTAGGTCTCAAATCTAAGATGGTAGTGATTTGACGGTAAAAATGGTGGTTGTTGGCCGACGGTGAGAATGACCGACGCCAAATGAAAATGGTGGAGACGATAAGCAACAACGAGTTGGTGAAGAGAAAGAGTGCTTTAAAAGAAAGAGAAGAGGGGGTATAATAATCAAATAAAATATTTAAATAAAAAAATTTGTCCTTCATACAGAATTTTCTAATTATGGGTGGGTTTTGAAAGTACTATTCAACTTGCTTGGTTCTAATTTTCAAAAAATAGTTTTTAGAAAATTTTACTTTTTTATTTTTCGTATTTTGATGTTTTCAATGAATTTTTTTAACACTTTAAGCAATTATTTTTAATTTTTAGACACACCTAACATAAATACATTTAAAAAGTATAATATTTGTGAAAAAAAATCTTTAAAAATACACAAAATATCAAAAAATAGAAAAATTCAGTACATTTTTCGTATTTTTATGTATTTATTAGATTTTTAAAATATTTTTTCACAAATATTTTACTATTTAGATACATCTATATAAGGTGTATCTAAAAAAGTAATAAAAAAAATTACTTGAAATTTAAAAAATATTCACTAAAAACAAAAAAAAAATACGAAAAATAAAAAACTTAGTTTTTAGAAAACTGAAACCAAAGGTTTGCTTAAAGTACAAATTGCCTCCTGTGGTTTGAAAAATTACAAATATCCCCTTGTTAGAATTTTTTATTTAACAAAGTTAACTAAAAACATGAAATTCATAATTGTTCTCCTATACAATAATAAAATTACCTAAATTATTAATTGAAACATATTTCTAATATTATTAAAAACTGTTAATTAACTTGATGGTTTATTAATAAAATAGACGATTTGTTATGAAATTAAAAACCTTAAGGAGTGGAATGTAATTTCTAGAATTACAAGGTGTGATTCGTATTTTAATCAAATCTCGGGGAGTATGTTTGTAATTTATTTTTTTATTTTTTTTTTATCCTTTTGACAAAAAAAAGGAAGCTATGAGAAATTTAGGACCAAGTTTCCCATATAAATAATACAATTCTCTATTTCTCTTTATACATTAAATTTCTACAGGATCCAATCATCGCGTCATTCCATTCACCCTAACGTTTTTGTTTTTTGTCTCCTAAATTCATTATGATTAATTTCTCAATTTTAGCCTAGGAATTTAGATTTAAAATCTTAGATTTGTGCCATGAATGAGAGAATGTTATGAAGACTACACAGAATGAATCTGAATTACATATTGATATTTTTAGATAATTTGTAGATAAAATTTCTGAGTTTATAGTGTTAATAATTCATTATTGAATCTCCTCACCTCCAGAAAAGTATTTGGTGGCCCTAGAGTAAATCATATGGTATATCAATTTAATATTTATTGGTTAAAATAATTAGACCTAGTAACTTGACAAGTGTTCATACCACTATTCTCAATACTTCTCCATACTCTGTTTCATAGGTCCCATCCTGAACCCACAATGATAATTCAAACCGTTTATTTTGTAGACCCACAAAAAATTAACTTCGTTAGATATCAATGAATAAATCACATTTTATTTTATAAAATAATTTTCTCATGTTTACGAACAAATAATTTCTCAATTGTTTAAACTAAAAACAAAAAACGAAAAACGAAAATGTTATCAAGTGAAAATAATGGGTTCATGGTTCCGAATTCCTCATGTTTGAGACAGAAAATAGTTGATGTCATTTCATATGAATTGTATACCATATGTTTTATGGGTACAATTCAAAGTGCATGATGTATTTATTGTACATGAGGATCTTATAGCGGAGGGTATAGTATAAAAATTAGCTTTTTAGGGATAAATTTATTCCGTCTCTAAAAGTATAATATTTGTTGGGAAAAACTTTTGCCAACTAATTTCCTTCGTCGTGAAGTTTGTCCCAAATGGCCCTTCTGGAAAAGTCAAAAATTGACTTTTAGAGAGAAAATTTTGCATTTGTCACTATAAATAGACTTTTAGAGATTAAAATATATAGTTACAAAAAGTTTTGATTTTGAGACAACCAAAATTTGTCTCTAAAAGTCTAATTACATTCCAAGTCAAAAGAAACAATTCTGGAGATAAAAAATTAATTTTTGAGACAACATAAATTGGTTTCTAAAAGTTTTAGCTTCTGGAACAAATGAAAGTGGTGGCTAAAAGTTTTAATTTTGGAGACAATTAAAAGTGACATGTAAAGGAATAATTTTTTTGAGACAACTAAAATTGGTCTCTAAAAGTTTTATATATATATATACTAGTTTGAACATCAACTTATATTTCTGTCTTGATTTCTCAACAACCAAACAGAAAATATCCGCAGACAATTCTTGACTATTTTGTGTGTTTGTAAAGCATTATACTTTTTTAGCATTGAATAAAAGATGCCTTTGCTTGCATATCATAGGGATAGAGAACAGCAATAACTTATGAATATCAGATTCCTCTAAAACTTAACATGATATATAAACCAGAAATTGACAATCACTACAAATATTGCATTCCAATCCGTAGCCTATATAACAAGAAAAAAAATGAGCATAAACACTCATTAAAACCAAAATAGAGCAAGGCTCATGCGTAGGCAACTAGAAGAAGCTCAAAAAAAAAACTACTACGTCGCATATAGAGAGCACTGCTAATAACATATGTCAGCCACTGTTGATTGATTCAAGCAACGAAGTATGCAAGCAACAGCAAAGTGTCAAGGAATAGCAACTAGAGACGATAGAGGCTGGATACATGTCTTTCGACAGCACCAACGAATGAGTATGGGAAATATGAGCATTCATACATTATTTGTAGGCAATCTTCCAAAGTCCATGGATCCAAAAGGTCTTTATAACATGTTCACAAAGTTCGGTGTGGTCAAAGATGTGTTCATCCCACTCAAGTCGTCTGTTACGATTGTCATATTGCAGCAAAGGTGGCTATACAAAAAGCACATAGAGTTTGGTGTGATAACAAATCCTTGGTAGTTAAGAGCGCTACATTTCGAAGAGATTCGAGTGGTGAGGTCCAGTATATACGTAAGCAAGATAGGCACAGCAAAAGGACTGATGGGGGGTTGGGTGAATAGAAGGCCATCGTTTGCAGAGGTGGTAAGAAAATGGGAGCAACCGAAATAATCAGAAGATGTAGTAATAGTAGAGGAATATGGAAATGGGTGGTTAAGTGAGAGTGTTGTAGCTAAACTCAGGAATAATTGTCAGTTTTCAGACTTTAGGAAGGAATTTTTTAAAAAAGGTCTGAAGAATCTCCGAATTCGAGAAGGTGGAGGAAGGTTAGCAATACTATCATTTGATTTAGTAGAGGCATTAACGAACAGGAGAGAGGTGATTGGATCAATGAATGGTGTGAAAACATAGTAGAATGGAGGGCAGGTCTTGTGTTTGAACAAGAACAGGAGGTATGGTTACGCTGCTATGGTATCCCGTTTAATTTATGAAATACGAAAAACTTCAAAAAAATTGGGAAATTATGGGGAGAGGTATTAGAGGTTGAGGAAGTTACTATGTCCATGTCATCCTTAGCATATGGTAAACTTAGAATCTTGATGAAGTCTATGGAAACCATTAACAAGTGTGTCAAGTTCATAAATAAAGGCTCAGTAAGCAAATCAGGGTGTGTGAAGAGTTATGTTTATGCCAAGAACAACAAAGGGAAGAGAATTCATCCAATTTCCAACTCAGTAAAGCTCCAGGTGCAGAAATGAAAGATGGGCATGAGGAAGATGATGATGACGTGGGTGAATCAGAGGTTGAAGTGGATGGCAATGATGATGTATCACAGGACCATAGAGAAAGGGCTGGTAGGACAAATGATGGAAGCGGCGACAATTCACTAGCTATGTTAGTAGTTAATGAGACGTGCTATGAAGTGAGAGACCCAAGAGTAACTGGGACAGGTCTAGGAAAAGATAAAGGCATGCACAGGGTTTTGATTCAGAACAATAAGAGGGGCAGTAATAGTGTTACAGGGTGTGGGCCTTCCGTAGGCTTTATGAAGAGCATAAGCAATTCGGATCTACATAGGCCCAGCATTAATTTAAATGTGATGTTCGACCAAGCCCGGTTCAAGGGATTAATTAGAGGTCTGAACTGCATAAGAAGTGAATGGAAACAGGATGAAGCCCAAATCACAAAATATCAATCACCAGCCCAGCTATCCATTGAAGAGTTTGTAGGCCCAATGGGATCAAATAAGCAACTGAGTCAAGATGAGCCAGAAATAAAACAAAGAAGAGTGACCAATACAAACCAAGCACTGCAGAGTAGAAGCCGTGGTGAAGATCAACTGAGTAATGAGTTGAAAAGGAAAAGAAGACCGAGGCAAAAGAAAGCATGGTCAAGGTATGGTTTTCGAAGAGGGGCAATTTTGAGGGCAGCAGCAGTGGCCCTCTCATCATCAGTGTCACAAACTACAGATCATAGCAGAAGAAGAAATGACAGAGATCAACAGTATTTGCTACATGAGGCTCAAGCTACAATCCATATTGGGAAAGCTCTGGGTGTGGATTTTGAAGGCAAAGAAAGAGAGGTGACAAAGAAAATTATCACAATGGAAAGAAATGATAGGACTCAGGCTCCAAAGAGGGCTGAGGGAGTATGAGCTTGTATAGGCAATTTCGGAGAAGTATGAGTAAAAATATTTGGTAATGAAGATAATATCTTGGAATATAAGAGGGTTAGGTAGGATTAAGAAGAGAAGGAGAATAAAAGAGTTCATAAGATAGGGAAAGGTTGACATGGTTATATTTCAAGAAACAAAAGATCAGAAGTGTCAGAGTTATTTGTCAAATCGCTATGGCCAGAAGAGTTGGTTAGCTTCATGGTAGTGGATGCTGATGGAATTACGGGAGGATTGCTTTGTGTATGGAGGCCTAAGGTGTTTGATCTGATTGACTGTTGCAGTAATCGAAATTGTATCATCCTCTCAGGTAAAATGCATCAGGCAATTGAATGTGTGGTTGTAAATGTGTATGCACCCAATGATAGGAGTGTGAGAAGGAATTTATGGAAAACTTTGGGAAATCTAAAGCCTAAGTTTTCCAAACCATGGTGCATTGGGGGAGATTTTAATGAAGTTAAATCAGTGGCTGAAAGAAAAGGTTGTATTAGGAGGGATGGTGGAATGAATGGGTTCAATGATTTTATAAATACATTGGAGTTAATGGATGTTCCAATGATTGGAAAGAAGTATACGTGGTGTAACTCACAGGGAGGAGAGAGGTGGAGTAGATTGGATAGATTCTTAGTCAACCCTGAATGGTTAGAATGGTTTAGTTTCAAATTGTGGGGGTTGTCTAGATCATTATCTGACCACTGCCCAATATTACTAATGGAGGATGAGAGGGATTGGGGGCCTAAACCATTTAGATTCCTCAATGCTTGGGTTCTCCACCCCACATTCATGAATAAGGTAAAATCAGTTTGGGACAGTACTCAAGTGGATGGATGGGCGGGATACAGACTAAAAGTTAAACTGAAATCCTTGAAAGAAGCACTGAAAGTATGGAATAATGAAGTGTTTGGGAATGTTGAGTACAAGCTTAAAGAGGCAGAGCATGCAATGCATGCATTAGACTTGGCTGCTGAGGTAAGGCCTTTGAATGATGTTGAATTAGCAAGAAGAAGAGAGGTTAAGGGGGAGATTTAGAAGCTGAGAAAAATGAAAGAATGGTTTTGGGTGCAGAAATCCAGAGTAAACTGGGCTTTAAAAGGAGATAGGAATACTAGGTATTTCCATATCATGGCTACAAAGAGGATGAGTAGAAACCTGATGGATTCCATCATCATCAAGGGTACGTCTTACAACAAACCTATAGAAATGAAACAGAAAATTGCAAGGTATTTTGGTGAGGCATTTGTAGAAAAATAGAAGTTTAGACCAAAGATTGGTGGAGCTTTTAGGTCAATTGAACCTTACCAAGCTGAGTTGATGGTGAAAGAGTTTTCTGAATCAGAAATACGGGCTACCATTAAGGAGTGTAATGGGAATAAAGCCCCTGGACCTGATGGATTTAATTTGATTTGCATCCAAAAGGGGTGGAGGATAATGAAGGATGATATTCTCAAATTCATGGCAGAATTTCATGTGAATGGGAGGTTGGTGAAGGGCTTGAATGCTTCCTTCGTATCATTAATCCCCAAGAAGGAAAACCCAACAAGTATCTAAGATTTTAGGCCAATCAGTCTCATAAATTCCATGTACAAGATCCTATCAAAAGTCTTAGCTAGTAGATTAAAACAAGTGTTACCATGTATCATTAGCTCAACACAATCTGCATTCCTGAGTGGGAGAAGCATACTGGATGGGATATTCATAGCAAATGAAGTGGTAGATTGGTGGAAAAGATCCAAGAAAAGTGGACTAGTTTTGAAAAAGTGTATGATACAGTAAATTGGAGCTTTCTGTTTGATATGTTGGGAAAGTTTGGGTTTGAGACCAAGTGGGTGGAATGGATGAGGACTTGTTTAGGTTCAACTAGAGTATCATTCTTAGTTAATGGCTCTCCATCTAAGGAAGTGTGTCCCCAAAAACGGTTGAGGCAAGAGGATCCAATCTCACTATTTTTGTTCATTATAATAGCTGAAGGGCTAAATATGTTGCTATCAAGAGCTAAAGAACTAGAATTGATAAAAGGGGTCATTATTGGCAATGAAGGATTGAAGTTATCCCATCTACAATTTGCTGATGACGCAGTCTTATTCTGTGAGGCCGATTAGTTGAAAGTTTCAAATGTGAAGAGAATTTTAAGATGTGTTGAAGTAGTATCTGGACTAAAGATCAATTATCATAAGAGTGCTATCAGTGGAGTGGGAATTGATGAGGCTACGGTTGCTGATTTTGCTTCAAGATTAAATTGCATGAGTCAACAACTTCCTTTTAAGTACTTGGGTATGCCTTTAGGGGTTAATCGTAAAAGAAAGCAAATTTGGAAACCTTTGGTGGACAAGTTCAAGGAAAAATTAGCTGGATGGAAGAGAAGAGTGCTCTCATTTGCTAGTAAAGTGACTCTAATTAAGTCTGTGCTCTCCAACCTGCCAGTTTATTACATGGCCTTATTTAAGATACCTCAAGGAATAGCAAAAGAGATTGATAAGATACAATCAGCATTTCTTTGGGGGTGACACTGATCTGAAGAGGAAGTTACACTTAGTAAAGTGGAAGGAAGCAACGGTGAGCAAAAATCTTGGAGGATTGGGTATTAGGGACATTAAAGCAGTAAATGATAGTCTATTGGCCAAGTGGTAGTGGAGGTTTGGGGCTGAAGATGATGCACTATAGAAGATCTTGATTTGCAGCAAGTATGGGACTGAAGGTGGGAGATGGTTTCCTTCTCATATGGTTGATTACAATAGCTCAAGGATATGGAGTGATATCCAATTAGTAGCACATTCCAATCCTAGGTTATTGAATTTTTTTATGGAAAATGTTGAAATCAGAGTTAAGAATGGGAATAGGATTAAATTCTGGGAGGATGCTTGGCTGGACAAGTTCTGTTTGAAGGATAAATATCCAAGACTTTTTAGCATTTCTATTTATAAAGGGTATCACTGAAAGAAATGGTGAAGAGAAAAGGTAATCACGCTGAATGGATTTTCAGTTTTAAAAGATTTTTATTGGCATGGGAGGAGGAGGATTTAAGAATTTTGAAAGAGGAATTAGGAACTGGACCAAGACTGAGCCTAGAAAACTTGGAAAACATTAGATGGAATGCTGATAGTTCTGGTTGTTTCAATATAAAGTCTGTTTTCAACTATTGTCATTACAAGAAATTAAAGTTTTAGAGACAAATTTTTAGGGACAAAAATAATTTGTCTGCAAAAATTATACTTTTATACTGTGTTTGGTTAGAGAATTTAGGGGGGATTTGGAAAGAGAAATAGAAACGGTAGGTGAAATGTGAATAAAACATACCTACATTTCACCTAGTTTCACACACATTTTCTCTTTTCCTTTCCAAATCCCTCAACCAAACACAGCGTTAAAAACAAAATGAAGGAATTTAAATATATATATATATTTAATCATATTATTACATTTTTTAGACAAATTTATTTGATTATAAAAGAATTAGTCACTTTTACATATAATTTTAATTGGTACCTAATAAACCTAAATCATACATCATTGCCCAAATCATACATCATTTTATTTTGTATGTTGATTTTTCAACTCAATAGTCGAGAGACTATCTAAAAAAAAAAAAAAACTAGTTACTATTTCATCTCTCTCTCTCTCTCTCTCTCTCTCTCTCTCAAATCCCTAATTTCTTTTTCTCTCGTTGATTGCTTCTGATCTTGGCAACAATTTCATCATCGAGGAGTCTCATAACGTCTCTCTCCATTGTGATTTCAGTATTCGGGTTTGATCGATTAATCAATTTCAGTCTGATAGATTTGATTTTTGATCTATTGTTTGTATTTATTCGAAAATGCTTATTTATCGGTGTAATGTTTGTGTTGATGATTTCACTTCGTTGTACTGATTTATGATGTGCTGGTTCAAATACACAATCATTGAAATGTAATATTAATTTTGGTGCTGAGATTTGATGATTCTGTTAAGTACTACTAGTTGTTTTGATCCATGAAAATGTTTCACTGGTTTAAGCAAATCTCCAATAATGGCAAACTTGAGAGACGCCTCTAGGTGAAATAGATCTTGATGTTTTCTTACCGATACTTCTGCTACTAGTTGAGAGTCAATATGTTCAACATTTGGCAGGCAACATTCTTATGGCCATCTCTGATTACTTGCATCTGTATGTGAAAATTTGCTACCTTGAAATTTCAATTTCTCTTTTTTTTTTTTCTTTTTTTTTTTTCTTGTGATTTATCTTGCAAAACTATATGTTGAACATATTGACTCTCAATTAGTAGCAGAAGTATTTGGTTTAAGCAAATCCATGAAAATATTATTTCTCTTATCAAATAATTTAGCTGCAATTGATGATTTTAATTATTTTTTTTTTAATCCCTTGAGGGATTCATTCTAGGTGAAGTCTTACACTTCACAATTTCAATTTCAATAATAGTTTTGTCAAAGTTCACTTTATTTCATGACTTGAAATGCAAATTACAATTCTCAAAATTGAAAAGAATTAGGCCAAATTCTGTAATTTTCAGCTGAAATTTTAAAAAATAAGACTTCCATGCAATTCATATAGATTTTTAGTGGGTCGAAAAGCAAGCACTTCTTTTTTATGTAGGTCGAAAAGCAAGAACATAGGGGAAAATGGGTGCATATGGATCCATTCAACAACATGAATGTTAAGAATTTTCTTAATGTTGTGTTTGAATTTGTTGAAGGAAAAGAACAAGCTGCTTCTTTTTTTGGTCTGTGTGTGTGTGAAATCAGTAACATTACAGAGTGAAGAGAGGGAGAAGAATAAAATTCCATGAGTCTGATAATTTTTTAGCACCATCCATTTCTGTATTTTGAAAAGTTGCTCACTAGCTTGCATTTTTATTTATTTATTTATTTATTTTGAGTAAAGTCCATTTGTATGAAAATTTTCCTTAAAAGTTAGTCATTTTTTTTGGATATGGTGTTTTAGATTGATTGTGATAACAACTAACGCAATTAAGAACGCAGTTATTGCTTTCCGGAGATAGAGACCTAAATGTTCTTGCTAAATGGCCATGGGTGAAAATGGAAGAGGACTTCCTGAAGCTGTCACAAATGTTCAATGCGATGAAATCTATTGTTCGTGTGCCCACTGTTGATCCCAAATACAAGATTGCAGTTCTTGCTTCAAAGCAGGTGTTGTTTTAATCTTCGATGGCTACTTTGTTCTGCATTAGGTGTATGGTCTTAAGCTTGAAATTTATTTATTTATTTATTTGGGGAGAGGGGGGAAGTGAGCAAATATTGTAGAAAAATATCGGATATATTTATATCATACATGGGGCATACCCCAGGCATTACAATGAGGATGGAAACCTCGATGGAGATGGGGCCAGCCAAGACCAAAGAATAAACAAAAAATACAAGAAGATAATGAGGACAGGATCTTATAATTTACAGTAACCAATACCCATTATCCAAAGGCATATCACATACCCAAGTAGACAATCCACAAAGCCCCATAATCAACTATTCTAGCACCAGCAACCAAATCATTCAACCCACATCGTTATGAACATCAAGAACACTGCAAAACAAGGGTTTGGTTATGGTGTGCAACTTACACCTTATACCTTACACTTACACCTTACACTTACACCTTTTGTAAACAATTAAACCTTACACTTACACCTTTTTTGAGGTTGCACACCATGTGCAACCCACTTACACCTTACACCTTACACTTACATCTTACACTTACACCTTATACTTATACTTACACCTTACACTTACACTTTTTGTGTAAGTGGCACATGGTGTGCACTTGCACACTTAAGAAAACTCCGCAAAACAAAGTCTTTGGCATTGATTGAAAAGATTTAATGGCAACCTCCATTCTCTCCCTCATAAGGATGTAAACAGAAGAAGCAGGCATGCATCTGCATGATATCTTGTTCATAGCTTTTTCTTTAAGATGCACTGAAGTCCATGCAGCCAAGTCTCCCCATTTGAGATGAGGCCACTGTATGTTACATTTCCTGCACAAATGATTCCAAGCACACCCTATGAAAGAGCACTCAAAGAACAAATGTTCATGCTCTTCAATAATCAACCTGGAAAAAACACAGCTAACAGAGTTGATTTTACCATATTTCAACTTATCTTGAGTACTTGGTCGTTCCCTCACCGTGAGCCATAAAATGAATACAGGACCAAACTAATTTGTGCCATGGGGCAGTCTAATGTGTTTGTCTAAGCATATTCTGTCACGCCCCAAGCTCCGTGACAACGCCGCACACTCATTTAAGTGAGCATGCAAGGCTAAGAGTCCAACACATAACCAACAATGTAAAATACTCCAATTAAATCCTTAATTATTATAATGTTAAAATCCATAAAAATTTATTATTCTTATCGTATGAAATTATTCACCAAGTCCACTAATAAAATTCATTAACAAAATAATAATCCAAGTACTTAAATTATAGTCCTACGCTCGGCACATTATGATAATTATCCACCAAGTCCACTAATAAAATCCATTAACAAAACAATAATCTAAGTACTTAAATCATAGCCCTACTCTCGGCACTCCCACATGTAAAAATCTCGCGCAGCTCTACTCTTCAGAATCTGAAAAAAAAAATAAGGGTAAGCTAGATAGCCCAGTAAATAACCAACCATCACTGTTAGTTGGATCAAGTATACAAATAAATAAATAAATAAATCGATAACCAATAAATATAAATTTTTCTACTGTTCTATAAATGAACAATTATTTGTAAGATGGTTTCATAGCTAAAAATAAACAATGTACAATACATTTTAATGAAAAGTCAACAAGATAATTCAAAGTAATTCGTTGTTCAAATCGATGGTTCGATATTCAGATGGTTCAATGATTTGATTCACAAAACCCAAGTCTTGGTGACTACGGTTACTTAGCCTGTGACAGTGCCCCCAGTAAATAACCAACCATCACTGTTAGTTGGATCAAGTATACAAATAAATAAATAAATAAATCGATAACCAATAAATATAAATTTTTCTACTGTTCTATAAATGAACAATTATTTGTAAGATGGTTTCATAGCTAAAAATAAACAATGTACAATACATTTTAATGAAAAGTCAACAAGATAATTCAAAGTAATTCGTTGTTCAAATCGATGGTTTCGATATTCAGATGGTTCAATGATTGATTCACAAAACCCAAGTCTTGGTGACTACGGTTACTTAGCCTGTGACAGTGCCCAGAACCACACATAGGCCGGTGGTAAAGCTCCAAAAGAAACTAGTTTCTATGCCAATAAATAACCCCTATTGGCTAGGGTCCAAAACATAATCAGACTAGAGTGATATTCAAAATTCAAACAATACACAAATTTTAAATAAGACATTCGATATTTTCACAATAAACGTTTAGTACAATTTTCAGAATAGTTCCACAAAATATTCAAATAATTTTTATAATAATATTCAATGTTGTTTTGTACTTTACCCATATTTTATTTTAAGAGAACATAAAAGTTATAAATAATTACTTATAATTTTAAACTATTCGATAGGAATAAAAATGAACCAACAGTGATAGAGGGTTACTTACTTCAAACAGCTAAAATAATATTCCCAAGCTAATCTCAAATTACCAAGATCCACCTCAATCTCACAAACCTTGAAATAGCCCCAATTTTGCCACCATGGAGAAACCCAGAAAACCAAGAATTCAATGAAAGAAAGATTACGTTGAAAAGGGTTTGATTTCAAAGCCTTCAATTATCGAGAATTCAAATCAATCAAACCAATGATGAAGAAGCAGAGGAAAAGGAAGGGAATAGGGTTTATGTTTTCTTTTCTTTAACTTTTTTTTTTTTTCAAACCTTTGCTGCCTTCACCTTCCGCAGCCACAGCATCCACGAGCCTCACTTTGTTTCTTTTTTTTCTTTTTTCTTTTTTCTTTTTTGTTTTTCTTCTTTTACATAAAGGGTTATTAACCTAATTCCTTAAAATTACTAAATTGCCCATACAAATTAATTTAACTACTACTTCATCCAAAAATAATTCTACATATATCTTGGGTTTTACATATTCTAAGCATCAGCATGTACACTCTCTTACAGAAGCTGTCATTATGTTGGCACAGAAAATCTGTGATGAAAACCTGAAGAAAATTTTTGCAGGGCGAGACCGAGTTAGGTTTCTTTAGATTGCGGGATTGATGAATCTATACTTTCTTAAGTGAGCCCTTGCAGGAGAATGGATTTTGATTTTCAAAGTCATCGATGAATCTGTTCTTTTGTGAATGAGGGGTCTTAGGCCTCGTTTGGGAGTAGCCGGTTTAGACAAAAAGTCAAAAAGTTACTAAAAAAGCCAAAAAGCCAACAACCCATACCAAAAAGTCAAAGATTCTCTTTCTCTCTACTTTTTACACATCTTTTCGTAAAAAGTCAAAAAGTCATTCCAAACATACTAGTTTTTTTTAGCTCATATTTTAGCCAAATAGCTAAAAAGTTACTAAATTAGCCTGTTCCCAAACGAGGCCTTAGTATTTTGTTGATGATACTACTTGAAGGATTTAGCAGTGCTCTCTATTTTAATTTTTTTTTTATTTTTGATCAGCAAAAACAGAACCTTTATTGATAAAAAAAACCATACGAGAGATAAGATTACATCAAATAAAGGAAGGGAAGAGCAGCATGCATCATAGCAAACTAACCCAATCCTAACTAAGTTGGCACCGAGTAGAGAGCCCAATCATCTGCAAGCTCGTCGCCAGGAGTTTGGTGAGGAACCAAACCCAACAAGAAGAAAAACAAACAAGAGAAACAAAAAAAAGGCAAGGACAAAGACCAAGCTATCAGCAGCAGCAACTTTGCTATCAGCCCAGAATCACCCAACAGATCCCTATCAACCCAGCAGACACAATAGCTCACAACAAGGGACACATATCAGCTCACACAATAGCCCATTGCTAAGCCTAGAGAATTTGCAGCCAGCTTCCTAGACCAGTAGCATGCAGCAACAGCACATGGCATGAATCCACCAGCAAAAAAACTACAGACCAGATTCCATCTCCATCAGTTCACCAAGTCCTAAAATCTCACAATGCTTGACCCATTAACTAGCACCTTAACAAAATAAGACCTGTTGCAAAAAGCCCCTAGACCAAACAGCAAAACAGCAGCAGCAAAGCATAGCACACAACACCAGCACCACACAAAAATAGCAGAATCCAAAAACCATCAGACAGCACTACAGTAGACATCTCCATTTCTAAGGCAAAATAAGACTTGGACTAAAGTATGCTACAAAATCAGTGGTTGATATCGTAACTCCAGCCCTAAATGAGTCCAGCTTAAGACTAAAGCCAAGCTTGTCACAGTAGAAGAGCAGCTTAGCATACCAACAGACCTCCTTGTAATCCCAATAGACCTCCACTAATGCCAACTAGAAGTTGAATAACATCTTAGCAACCTAATACAAAACAGGGCACCCCCTATAACCAGCAAGATAATTAGCAGTATCAGCAACTAGCAGCAGTATCTGCTTCAGATTAAATACTATAACATGCACTGAGTACTGCAACACTTTAAACTTTGATTTTGCCATATGCCTCACACTCTTCAATCTTCCGTTGGTCCTCACCTGCTGCAAGCAATCAACAACACTGATGAAAAGGAGTTGGGTTCAGGTAGCACTGAACAGATGAGTAACACACATTAGCAGATCAGCAACAGAGCAACACATTTTCTTCTTTATACACCAGTGCCCATCCATATCCCCAACACACCTCATTTGATACGTCTCCTAATCTGTTGCAGATTTGAAACAAACTGATTAATTGAATAATTTCCTCCTACTATATTTGACTTCAACCACATGGCCACCCTAACCTTGATAAGCTCACACAGCTCTTCACTATTGGGCTGTACCTCATTGAAAATTACATCATTTCTGTGCTTCCAAACAGACCAGAAATCGTTACTAGTATTGCTTTCCAGATCTGTAATTCTCCTTTTTTAAACTTCCAGCCACTTCACCACTGAAGTAGACCTTCCACTATATCAGGCACTGCCCATTGCATTCCCCACCAATTGATTATGCTAGACCATATATTCCACACTAAATGACAATGTAACATAATATGATTTAGTGACTCCTCCTCTGTTCTAAAAAGTGCACAGAATGATCCCACTCTTGTGTCAACAACCCATATCTTATGTAGGAAGTCCATTGTCTTTATTCTCCCTTTCCATACCAACCAAGCAAAGAACTGTGCTTTTGGAGTTGCTGCATTGTTCCAGATTAAACTAGATAACCTTTTCCTAGATCCATGAATCAGCTCACACACTACAACAAAATGCACTTTCGGCGACTAAATTTTTTTTTGTCTCCAAAACTTGTGGAATTGGCAAACAAAAATTTTTTTAGTCGGTAAAAGTATAATATTTAGCTACTAATTTTTTTAGTCGGGAAATATTGATTATTGGCGACTAAAAAAAAATTAGTCGCTAAAAATGCCACAATTGGCGACTAAAAAATGTTTTGGTCGTTGTATGAATAGTTTTGGCTACTAAAAATTTTTTAGTCGTCTAATGAAAAACAAAAAACATACTTTTAGACTTTTGGCGACTAAAAGTTTGGTCGCCAAAGAATGAAAATATTTGGAGGAAAATTTTTGAAATTTTGAGGGATTTATAAAATTAATTGGCGACTAAAATATTTGGTCACCAAATTATTACTTTTAGCGACTAAAATAATATTTAGTCGCCGTTAATTAAGGTTTTGGCTACTGAAACAACATTTTAGTCGGCGTTGATCAAACTTTGTATTAAGACTACTCTGTCAACCCTCTCCCATTTCAGTCTCTCATCCCTCTTCTCTCTTTCTCTCACTCCAACGCAGGCGACCCTCCTACCGGCCACCACTGTCGCACACGAGCACCCACCTCCTCATCGGCGACGGTACAAACCACCTCTCCACCAGCGACGGACAACAGTAGCTACTTTGATTTATGTCTCCTCCAGCGCAAACCAGGCATTTCCGGCCTATCTCTCTCTCTATATATATATATATATATATCTTCACCCAATTTCTAGGGTTTTATAACAAATGATTTGTTTTTTTTTTGGCTATAAATCAGAGGGTTGGAGCTTCTCTCTCTCACTCTGGGTCTGTCTGTCCGTCTGTCTTGTCTCTCTCATATGAGCACCACCATTAGGGCATTACCCCAGGTATGTCCTCTCTATTTCGCCCTCTTTCTGTCTCTCTTCCCCTAATTTCAGCCTCTAGGGTTTTCTTCCATTCGCATTCCTTCACGCAAACCCAGCCCAATCGACCCATCCAACGCCATTGACGAATGACTATGATTTTGATTTTGATGATATTAATTCAATTTGTTCATTTCCATGTTCTTTTTCTTTAATTTAATTTATGGGTAAATTATGCATACCACCTGTTTGCTAATATGCCTCTGAAAATAGGAAACATAAAATCTGTCAGTTTCTGGTTGAATGTGAGTTGTACATGTGTTAATTTCAGATGTGTTGCGTATAGTCACAATTGAGGCAAGGTTTTGGAGGCAGTTTCAATTTCAAGACTGCTATGTAGCTCCAAATCTCCCCCCCTCCTTTAGGTAAAATTCTCCTTGTTCAAACACATGCCTTTCTTTTATGTCCTTTTTGTTACTGAGTTCAACTCTGTTAATAGATAGTTTCAGTATTTCAAAGACAAGGTAAATGGTGATTGTCTGACTTTTTTTTTGTACTGAAGTAAATATTTTATCTGCAAACAAAAATGTGTTATAACTTAAAACTGTCTGTTTCAGTTTCTTGGAGGAAATCATCCTTGGGAGTGGTCAAAACTTTGTATTAGAGGTATTTATTTTAATCGTGTTAGAACTTTGTATGCCTTATTGCATGAATGTTTTCAATACACGCGAGTATGATATTTCAAATAAATTATATGGGTTTTCTTTGGCTGAAGTGATCAAGAATATATATATTTTTCATTATTTTGCATAATATATATATTTTTCATTATTTTGCATAAAGCAAATCCAATTTTCAAATAAATTTTAAGTCCTCTCCCATTTCACTCTCTGATCAAGAATATATATATTTTGCATAAAGCAAATCCAATTATGGTCTTCTCCTAAGCTGAGTTAACAAAAGTTGTATGTTTACCCAATTCTGTTATTGGCTAATGATATTTTTCTTGTAGTGCTAGTTAATATTTTTACTTGAACTAGCCACTTGCTCCAACCTTGAGGCATGATCACCAGTAAACTAGTCCCTTGTTCTGTGCTCCTATTTTAGTAAACTGGTAGACTTTAACCATGTACAATCACATTATGACTAGTTTTCATATGGTATCTCCACTGCTTTGGCAATTAAGATTTCATTATAAAGTGCCTTTAGTCTATACTTACATTTTTTAATGTGTTTTTTTGAACAGGTTAAGAATCATTGATTAGAGGAAACTAAAACCTGTTGAGAAATGGTAACAATCCTTTCTACTTTTGTTTTGATGTTTCAAAGATATTTTGCTGTGCTGAGGACACTTAAGTTTAACTGAAGTTTAATATCTTCTAATGTAATAGATTTTATTTATTATTTTATTATGATACTGGAAACTAGTTATTAGACCATGGTATTTATCATTAATGTGCATATCTTTGTTGGAGCTTTTTCATAATGGTTATTTCTGTAGGGTTATAACCCTTTAGGCATTCGAGGTTGAAGTTGGTAGTAATGATAAAGTGTTCCTGTTGAAGTTTGTGAATTACTAGATGCTGTTTCTGCCTATGACATGATCAATTTTATATAAGATCACAACTTGTCATTGAATAGAATTGAAGGTTGGTGTAGTTAACAATAAAGTGTTCCTATTAAGGTTTCTGAACAACTAGATGCTGTTTCTGCCTATGGCAGAGCCAAGATTTGAACTCCTCATGCTTATATTAGCTGTGATAACAAATGTGGAATGGGAGCATGTAGATATCTTTGAAAATGAGGGTGGTGGGTGACTCCAGTATTGAAAGCAAAATATTTATTTACTTAAATAAGGCCCTCGCTCTCTTCGTTTTAAGGTGCAAATTGGGTACTTATCTTCCAATGTTGGGAGCTCAACAGAGTTAAAGGTATTTCTGCTTTCACAACTAGTTTATACAAGAGAATTCATGAAGTTTTTTATTTTTTATTTTTGAAGTTAAAGTGATAGAATTTGCAAAAAAAATTATATTTTATTTTGGTTTGTTTTACCTTGGATATCGTATAAACATAGTACATTGGGCACAAAATGCATATTTACTGACACACACAGTGTATGATGCTGACTTTCTGTTTTCTGTATGCGTACAATGTTTTCCTAATTCTACTTTTGCCAATTGTCATCAACTTTTGTAGAAATGTTTTATATATCTTTTTTATCTGTCCCGTTGTTTATGAATCTTTAACCTGCATTGCCCTCTCAGATTGCATACATGTTTCACCACTATTCTAAAGTGGTTTCAGAAAATGTTGGATATAGAATTCCCATATGATTGATGGTTGCTAGTTTTGAATTGTCCATTTATAATGTTTAAACAATATCCAAATTTGGATGTAATTTTATTGGTAATTTTAAAAGCTGTTTCCACTTTCTTATGTAATTACTTAGTATTTAGTAATAAGATCGTAAAAAAAGGTTTTTAATTAATGGGATATTATTTCTTCTGACCTAGGACTTTATTTAGTTCATGGAGACAGTGGCATAAGTGGTAATCAGTGAACAAGATTTGCTGTGTAAATTAGTTTCTGATTCTTCATAAAGTTGTTATAAATGCAACTTAGCATATGAGGTGTATTTAAGTTGAAGAACTTTCAATACTAGTAACTGATATGATTGCTTGCTGGAACACCATTTCTTATTTCAGATGTTGGAAATCTCATGCTTTCATACAACATTAGTTTCCTATGACCCTCATCAAATTTCTCGAAATTCCTTGCAAATGCTGAGTATGATGTTATGTAACTGATAGCAGCTATTGAATCAAAAAAAGGTGAAGGATGGATGAAACTCTGCTAAAAGTGTGTGAGGGGTTTATCTTGCGCTGTCAATTATAATGGTAGAGATAAAATGGAGTTCAAGGTGGACTTTAGTTTAGAGTTCAGAAATAGTTGTTTAAGAGCAAGTCTCACATAGAATTAGACAGTGAGAGGACTGCTTGCTATGAAGATTAGAACCTGTTCTATTGTTAGAAGTTTTGGAGTGTTTTTTTTTTTTTTTTTTAATGATGGGGCTTTTGGTCAGTGATTTATGAACTGTTGAATTTTACAGGATTAGCTCCGACTTTCAATCTTTTGATGGAAAGATACTGAATTTTAAAAAATTTCATTTCATGATGATGAATGGGATTTGGGCAGTTTGCTATGTTTTTCTGTACATCTGATGAATGGGATTAGGCAATTTGCTTGTGCAATGAGCTTTTTCTCGATGTATGAGTTTCAAAATTTCTTCATTTCATTGTCTATTCTACTAGGCAAATGTTTATGTTGCCTTTGCACTGTAATTAATTCATGAAACTGTCTAAAGTGCTGTTGTATGTCAACATGAATTATTACTCTCTTGTAAGTATAATAGTATGAATTTTCTTTGGTTTGTTGTGCTTGTATTAGGTCGCTCTAAGAATGAGATTTAGGAGGTTGAAAATGGTTTGAATGACACTACAACAAGCTGCAGCCCTATCTGTTCTGACTTTAGCTGCTCTGGCTGTGGCTCGTACTGCAGCCTTGCTTGTGTTGACCTGGCCTGGTCTTGCTGCAGCTGGGGCTGCTGCGGCTGGGAATGCTGCCTTGGCTGCAGTGGCTGGCTTTGGCTTATGCTTTGTGTGATCTGGCTTATCAAATCTGAATTGGTGCTTGGTTGGTTGCCCCTATATGGTTTGCAGTTTTAGATTGGAATTTGTAAAACACAGGGTCACTTCAGAATGTTGAAGCATGTCATGGTTAGTTCATTTTGCATGTGTATTTGGAATTAACTAGTTGAAGCATGTCATGGTTAGTTCATTTTTCATGGCTGTTGGGGGAGGGTATCTTTGTCTTAGGTTTCTTTTGTTCATTTTCTTAGGAGACATATAGTTCTTACTAGTGTCCATTTTCTTTTTCTTTTTTTCTTCATTTTCTTTTTTTTTTTTAAACTTCACGTGTACATATAGTTCTTGCTTCTGTAGCTCACACTAGCACATTTATTTTTTTTAAAAAACGTCTTTCCATTTCTCATTGATATGTGAGGCATTGCATATCTTGTGCTATTATGTTTTCTCAATCTTCTCAGGAAAGTCGTGCCATGTTCAAATGTTGTAGTAGAATGAGAGGTGGAGATGCAAAGACTATAGATCCGAGGTGGAGATTACTTTTGGCATGAAATATATTACCATTGGCATGGTATAGATTACTAGATATTTCTTTTGTGTACGGAGGATATTATTTTTATATGATTACCTGTTTGTATGGAATTATTATTTTGGGTTGAATTATATTTGATTTGTATAGAATTTGATGTTAAAAGACTAAATTTTTGGATAGTTGACAGTGAAATAGAAATAGGCATATGTATTGTTTTATTTATATACAGGATGCAAGTTACACAAAATAAATATAAGTTGTGGAGAAATTAATAATAATTAAAAAAAATACTAAATAAAGTTTTTGGTGACTAAATGTTTAGTAGCCAAAAAAAAAAAACTTATTGGTGACTAAAAATTTAGTAGCCAAAAATATATGAGACTTTAGGTGACTAAATAGTTTCGTAGCTAAAAAAAAAAAAGATGAAAATAATATCTTTTGGCGATTAAATATTTAGGAATTGTTTGGGATGATTTAAATAAGTGTATTTTTTTGTCTTTTTACGAAAAGATGTGCAGAAAAGTAGAGAAGTGGTGTGATGAAAAAAAGATAAAAAGATGAATTATATAGGAGATGCCAAACCATCCCTTAGTAGTCAAAAATAAACAAGACTTTAGGCGACTGAATAGTTTAGTAGCTAAAAAGACGAGATGAAAAATAATTTTTTTGGGCGACTAAATATTTAGTAGCCAATAATAAATAACCATTTGGGTGATTAAATAGTTAGTAGCGAAAAATAAAATAAAATGAAAAATAAATTTTTTGGCGACTAAATTCTTCAGTCCCTAAATGTAGTAATGTTGTGACTAAAATTTATCCACGACTAAAAGTTTTAGTCGCTGAAAATCAAAATTAATTTTATTTTGAAAACTTTTGGCGACTAAATATTTGGTCGCCAATTTATGACTTTTGGTTACTAAAAAATATTTAGTCGCCAATACCTTTCCAGACAATTAGTCAACGATGAATTTGGCAACCAAAAAAATTAGTCGTTAAAAACTTTCGGCGACTGAAACTTGATTTTTTGGCGACAAAAAATTTAGTTACCAAAAATATCATGTCTTGTAGTGATAAAACCCCACATGGTGAGTGCTGCTGGTGTTGTTAGGCTTTATATAGTTTGTGGAATATGTTGCATTCGCACCTGTTTGACCATTTTAATATTATTGGTTATTTATTTATTTATTTATGTATTTAATTTGTGACTTTTTATTCGGTCCATGAGGAATTAGTGGGTGGTTATGGGCATGGTGGTGAGTAAGGTTTTGGGAGTTATGGAATATCCCACATTGACTAGGAGAGTAGATGAAGAGTTGCATATATGTATCTATGTTATTGGGTTTACATATAACGTGTAGGAATTGGATCCAACTCACTGGTGCAAGGTAGGACTAATTGGAGGAAAAAATTATTCAATGTTTCCATATGTCTATACTTTTTAATCAAAAATTATTCAATGTGTCTATATTTCGAAATTACTGTATAATTACCTAATTGAAGGTATGAGAATACGGTTCAGTCATTTACTATTTTGTTTATTGTAAGTCCATAACTATTCCATTTCTCTAGTTTAATGGAACATTATTTTTTATTAATTCCTATAGGCCTATGTACCCTATAAATACTCTCCATCAATTCATCATCCACCAACATTTTCCACACTTCTACTAACCAAAAAAATGTGTTTTTTCCTGTGAAGTTTTGGATTTACTATCTTATGTAAAGTTGGCTTAAATCATATGATAAATGGTTAGACTATTGTATCTTAGATGAGACAAGTCAGAGTTTGGTAACTGTTGCACTAGTGTTTGGATTTCTTCTACAGAGTGGGCTTAAACTTCTTAAAGAAAATGAGATATCCGTACCTCAGTTTAATCTGTTTGTATCTCTTTTTCTTTATATTTTTTGTTAATAAAATATTATTATTCTAATATTTTCTCCAACAGTACCTATTACTTATGGACTCTCTCAAATTAGCATTTAGGTTTGTTGGGCCCATTTAGGAGCCGACTTTAGTGATCCAAACTGTTCGGGAGAACCAAAACCTGTTTGTTTGGACGAACTGGATAAAGGGAGATTGTAATCCATCGGACTGTTAGTCCCGGGATACATTGTCCCGGGACTATTTGGTTGGATTGAATTTGTATCCTATGTTTGTTTAGTCATGCGATTAGATGTCTGGATTGGACTATTTTTAGTAAATCCAATGTTTGGTTAGACGGACTGGATAAGGATAAGTGTTCAAAAGACTATTTTACCCTTATAATCTATAATTTATAATTTAATAACACTAAAAAAATTTAATTTATAAGGCCACAATTTTTAATTTATTATTTTCAATTAAATTAAATTTATATTTTATATTTTATATTTTTATTTAATATATAATTTTAAATAACGACAATAAAAAATAATTTTATTTAATATATAAATTAAATTTTCAACAACACTAAAAAAATTTAATTTATAAGGCCATAATTTATAATTTATTATTTTTAATTAAATTTAATTTATAATTTATAATTTAAATTTTTTATTTAATATATAGTTTTAAATTAACAACACTAAAAAAATAATGTATAAATGTTCAAAAGACTATTTTACCCTTTTCTAATTGTTCACTAAGTAATAGCATGGAGGGTAAAATGGACATTTCACAAAATAATCCCATGGGATACCAATCCCATGGTTTCTATCCCACACCCTCCCATGGGATAAGATAGTCCCATGTTTGTGGGACTAATAATCCGGGGGGATTATTAGTCCGGAGCAAAATTTTTCAAACAAACAATGGACTATTAATCCGATGGGACTAATAGTCCAATCCCACCCTCTTATCCCTCAAAACAAACATGCTCTTAGGCCATGTTTGATTCACAACACTAATAGTGAGGTATTAATAATCCTATTAAATTAGTGTGGTATTAGTTAGATACCAATCCCATGGTTTCTATCCCACACCCTCCCATGGGATAAGATAGTCCCATGTTTGTGGGACTAATAATCCGGGGGGATTATTAGTCCGGAGCAAAAATTTTCAAACAAACAATGGACTATTAATCCGATGGGACTAATAGTCCAATCCCACCCTCTTATCCCTCAAAACAAACATGCTCTTATTTAATTGTATGTGACACATGTTATGCATGTCAAAATATTTAATGACATTTCTATAAACAAGTTAGGTGTAAAATAAAATTTAAAAAAATAAAAATAAAAAGTTAGATATCATTTTCATTTTTTATTTTTATTTTTTAAATATTCAAAAAAAAATAATTGTTTAACAAATTGTTTTTGGTTAACTTTTGTAAACAAGCTTTGGTATCGTTTTTGTTTTTATTTTTATTTTTTATTTTTTTTAATTTATAAAAATAAACTTGTTAAACAAACTATTTTTTTAAAACCATTTTTGGGAAAACAGATTTCCTAAACTATTATTTAGGTACAATTTTTAGAAATTGGGATTTAGATTTTAAGATTGAGGATTGAGTTCATTTGCATCCATGCCAATTTCATGTAAAATAGCTACCTAGATTTTGTTTGTTTTTCTAGATGTCTGTATTAAATCATGGAACTCAATTATTTTATGATGACAATTTTTTCAACTCTATTGTTATTATTGAATGAATTACTAGCATATCTATACAATATATATTCTGTAATAATGATAATTGATGATTTCTTTTATCCTGAAATTAGTCCCTTGCTTGCGTCACTGAGACTACCTTGGGCAATATAGGGTTTTAGTGTGTGGTTGCCTGTGGGGGTGGTGGAGGGGGAGGTGGTGACGGTGGTGGTAAGACTTTAGTCCGAATGACACTTTCCATCACCGCTGCAACCCCAAGCACTCCACCATGTCACCACCACCACCTTTGAGAGACAATGTAATTGATGATCTGGTGTACCAATTTTTTTGGTGATACGGCAATTTAACTTGATCATGTAAACTCAAAATGTGGTTTTGAATTTTTGTAATTATATGTAGAAGACGTTCTCTTCTACCTCTCCTCCTATTTTTCCCTGTTTCATATGATCTCTATCAAATTCCATTCGAATATCTGAAATTGGAATTGTTGCCCCACAAGATGATCAAGTTCTTTATTAAGTTCAAATAGCATTTTTACATGCTTACCCAAATTTGGACTTCTAATTGTATTTTCTTTCAGTAGGAATGAACCGATCAATGGAGAGTCCATCCCTTAAGCGGAAAAGACAAGAACCAAATGCATAGTCTCGGTCACCTGAGAGTATACTATTAAATCTGATTAAAAGTAAAGGAGATATGGGAATCTGGAAAGGAGACATATGAAGAGAGAGACAAAACAAGCCCTCAAGACACTCCAAGGTAATAAACTTATAAAAGAGGTTGTTAACATCCGAAGCAAGAGGCAAAACATTTTATGGCAGATACGGCAGATAGAATTTCTGAACATTTCAAGAACAAAATAACCACGATTGAGTGCACAGTGAGATTATTGAGGTGAAGAGCACTGGATTAGGAGAATTTCATTCATTTCCAATTGGAACGGTTTGTTACAGACATGCAACTGAGATGGGCCTTGGAAAGGGGTCGAAAATTGGGTCCATGGCTTCAATTCCATGCGGGGCCTGTCCCTGAATTAATCGTCGTACGCATGATCACATTTGTCTCCCCAGTGACCTGCAACTACTATAAGAAATGGTTGGATTTTGAATTTTGAATTTTGAATGATACGAATGAATAAAGTCATGTTTTCTAATGTATTTTGTTTCTATTACTACTTTTGAATGTCGGTTTAAAAAGTTATTTTGGTATTTGTGTTTCTTGAAGCAATGAACTTGACTTGGCAATTTGTGGACTATAGTGTGTGCTTTGACTGAGATTTTTAGCTGATTTTCTGGTTGGGAAATCTGAGGCACATAGAATTTATGATCATAGTGTGGTAAGAAAATTAAATGTGTTCCAGTGGATTGTGGGATAGGTGAGATTTGATAATGTGAAACCATATTTTAAAAATTAATAATAAATAAATACTGATGTGCTAATGACATTGTTTTGGATGTGAGGTTGTGTTTAGTTGAATGGCCAATAGTTTCTCTGAAGTTGAAGAAAAAGAAAGTGGCAGATCAATGAAACATGGCACTTTCATCTTTTTAGCAATGTGTATGACATTGGTCATTGGTCTAGAATGAGTATTACTATTATTATTATCATTCCTTCATTTATCTTTGTGAAATGTCTT